CTCTTTCACTCCAGACAACGCTCACCAGGATGGCAGATTTGGGAGCTACGCAGCAGGTTCTAGATCTGGTGCCCAACGATACTCCTTCAAATGCTCCACTCCCATTCAAACACATCCTCCCCAAAGACCCCTCACTGACTCTCCATGGACCCCTGCAAGCGGCCGAGTGGGACCCACTCCGTATCTCACCGCACACGATTTCACCTGGCCCTATCCCACCACCGTGCGACTGTCACAAGCCGACTCTGTCTTCAGCCCTGCACTCACCCCAAGGGCTTTGGAACTGACACAAACTCTCTCCCCAGAGCAGAACACATTTACGTTTCCCGGCCCCCAGGACTTGTCACAAACCGGCACTGTCCTCAGCCCTACAAGAACACCAAGGGCTTTGGGGCAGACATACTCCACACAGGATTCCTCCTCATCTGCTCCCACCACCGTGCGACTATCACAAGCTGACTCTGTCTTCAGCCCTGCACGAACTCCAAGGGCTGCGGCAGCAACGTACTCTGTCTCCCCAGAGGATTCTGCCTGGTCTTTTCCCAGCACCGTGCAACTGTCACAAGCTGACTCTGTCTTCAGCCCTGTACGCCGTCCAAGAACTGGGAGGCAGACATACTCCCTCTCCCCACAGGATTCGGTCTGGTCAGTTCCCACCACCGTGCGACTATCACAAGCTGACTCTGTCTTCAGCCCTGCACGCACTCCAAGGTCTGCGGCAGCAACGTACTCGGTCTCCCCAGAGGATTCCGCCTGGTCTTTTCCCAGCACCGTGCAACTGTCACAAGCCGACTCTGTCTTCAGCCCTGCACGCATTCCAAGGGCCGTGGCACCAACGTACTCTGCCTCCCCACAGGATTCCGTCTGGTCAGTTCCCACAACCGTGCGACTGTCACAAGCCGACTCTGTCTTCAGCCCTGCACACACTCCAAGGTCTGCGGCACCCACGTACTCTGTCTCCCCAGACGATTCTGCCTGGTCTTTTCCGAGCACCGTGCAACTGTCCCAAGCAGACTCTGTCTTCAGCCCTGTACGCCGTCCAAGAACTGGGAGGCAGACATACTCCCTCTCCCCACAGGATTCGGTCTGGTCAGTTCCCACCACTGTGCGACTGTCGCAAGCTGACTCTGTCTTCAGCCCTGCACGCATTCCAAGGGCCGTGGCACCAACGTACTCTGCCTCCCCAGACGATTCTGCCTGGTCTTTTCCGAGCACCGTGCAACTGTCCCAAGCCGACTCTGTCTTCAGCCCTGCACACACTCCAAGGTCTGCGGCACCCACGTACTCTGTCTCCCCAGACGATTCCGCCTGGTCTTTTCCGAGCACCGTGCAACTGTCCCAAGCCGACTCTGTCTTCAGCCCTGCACACACTCCAAGGTCTGCGGCACCCACGTACTCTGTCTCCCCAGACGATTCCGCCTGGTCTTTTCCGAGCACCGTGCAACTGTCCCAAGCCGACTCTGTCTTCAGCCCTGCACACACTCCAAGGTCTGCGGCACCCACGTACTCTGTCTCCCCAGACGATTCCGCCTGGTCTTTTCCGAGCACCGTGCAACTGTCCCAAGCCGACTCTGTCTTCAGCCCTGCACACACTCCAAGGTCTGCGGCACCCACGTACTCTGTCTCCCCAGACGATTCCGCCTGGTCTTTTCCGAGCACCGTGCAACTGTCCCAAGCCGACTCTGTCTTCAGCCCTGCACACACTCCAAGGTCTGCGGCACCCACGTACTCTGTCTCCCCAGACGATTCCGCCTGGTCTTTTCCGAGCACCGTGCAACTGTCCCAAGCCGACTCTGTCTTCAGCCCTGCACACACTCCAAGGTCTGCGGCACCCACGTACTCTGTCTCCCCAGACGATTCCGCCTGGTCTTTTCCGAGCACCGTGCAACTGTCCCAAGCCGACTCTGTCTTCAGCCCTGCACACACTCCAAGGTCTGCGGCACCCACGTACTCTGTCTCCCCAGACGATTCCGCCTGGTCTTTTCCGAGCACCGTGCAACTGTCCCAAGCCGACTCTGTCTTCAGCCCTGCACACACTCCAAGGTCTGCGGCACCCACGTACTCTGTCTCCCCAGACGATTCCGCCTGGTCTTTTCCGAGCACCGTGCAACTGTCCCAAGCCGACTCTGTCTTCAGCCCTGCACACACTCCAAGGTCTGCGGCACCCACGTACTCTGTCTCCCCAGACGATTCCGCCTGGTCTTTTCCGAGCACCGTGCAACTGTCCCAAGCCGACTCTGTCTTCAGCCCTGCACACACTCCAAGGTCTGCGGCACCCACGTACTCTGTCTCCCCAGACGATTCCGCCTGGTCTTTTCCGAGCACCGTGCAACTGTCCCAAGCCGACTCTGTCTTCAGCCCTGCACACACTCCAAGGTCTGCGGCACCCACGTACTCTGTCTCCCCAGACGATTCCGCCTGGTCTTTTCCGAGCACCGTGCAACTGTCCCAAGCCGACTCTGTCTTCAGCCCTGCACACACTCCAAGGTCTGCGGCACCCACGTACTCTGTCTCCCCAGACGATTCCGCCTGGTCTTTTCCGAGCACCGTGCAACTGTCCCAAGCCGACTCTGTCTTCAGCCCTGCACACACTCCAAGGTCTGCGGCACCCACGTACTCTGTCTCCCCAGACGATTCCGCCTGGTCTTTTCCGAGCACCGTGCAACTGTCCCAAGCCGACTCTGTCTTCAGCCCTGCACACACTCCAAGGTCTGCGGCACCCACGTACTCTGTCTCCCCAGACGATTCCGCCTGGTCTTTTCCGAGCACCGTGCAACTGTCCCAAGCCGACTCTGTCTTCAGCCCTGCACACACTCCAAGGTCTGCGGCACCCACGTACTCTGTCTCCCCAGACGATTCCGCCTGGTCTTTTCCGAGCACCGTGCAACTGTCCCAAGCCGACTCTGTCTTCAGCCCTGCACACACTCCAAGGTCTGCGGCACCCACGTACTCTGTCTCCCCAGACGATTCCGCCTGGTCTTTTCCGAGCACCGTGCAACTGTCCCAAGCCGACTCTGTCTTCAGCCCTGCACACACTCCAAGGTCTGCGGCACCCACGTACTCTGTCTCCCCAGACGATTCCGCCTGGTCTTTTCCGAGCACCGTGCAACTGTCCCAAGCCGACTCTGTCTTCAGCCCTGCACACACTCCAAGGTCTGCGGCACCCACGTACTCTGTCTCCCCAGACGATTCCGCCTGGTCTTTTCCGAGCACCGTGCAACTGTCCCAAGCCGACTCTGTCTTCAGCCCTGCACACACTCCAAGGTCTGCGGCACCCACGTACTCTGTCTCCCCAGACGATTCCGCCTGGTCTTTTCCGAGCACCGTGCAACTGTCCCAAGCCGACTCTGTCTTCAGCCCTGCACACACTCCAAGGTCTGCGGCACCCACGTACTCTGTCTCCCCAGACGATTCCGCCTGGTCTTTTCCGAGCACCGTGCAACTGTCCCAAGCCGACTCTGTCTTCAGCCCTGCACACACTCCAAGGTCTGCGGCACCCACGTACTCTGTCTCCCCAGACGATTCCGCCTGGTCTTTTCCGAGCACCGTGCAACTGTCCCAAGCCGACTCTGTCTTCAGCCCTGCACACACTCCAAGGTCTGCGGCACCCACGTACTCTGTCTCCCCAGACGATTCCGCCTGGTCTTTTCCGAGCACCGTGCAACTGTCCCAAGCCGACTCTGTCTTCAGCCCTGCACACACTCCAAGGTCTGCGGCACCCACGTACTCTGTCTCCCCAGACGATTCCGCCTGGTCTTTTCCGAGCACCGTGCAACTGTCCCAAGCCGACTCTGTCTTCAGCCCTGCACACACTCCAAGGTCTGCGGCACCCACGTACTCTGTCTCCCCAGACGATTCCGCCTGGTCTTTTCCGAGCACCGTGCAACTGTCCCAAGCCGACTCTGTCTTCAGCCCTGCACACACTCCAAGGTCTGCGGCACCCACGTACTCTGTCTCCCCAGACGATTCCGCCTGGTCTTTTCCGAGCACCGTGCAACTGTCCCAAGCCGACTCTGTCTTCAGCCCTGCACACACTCCAAGGTCTGCGGCACCCACGTACTCTGTCTCCCCAGACGATTCCGCCTGGTCTTTTCCGAGCACCGTGCAACTGTCCCAAGCCGACTCTGTCTTCAGCCCTGCACACACTCCAAGGTCTGCGGCACCCACGTACTCTGTCTCCCCAGACGATTCCGCCTGGTCTTTTCCGAGCACCGTGCAACTGTCCCAAGCCGACTCTGTCTTCAGCCCTGCACACACTCCAAGGTCTGCGGCACCCACGTACTCTGTCTCCCCAGACGATTCCGCCTGGTCTTTTCCGAGCACCGTGCAACTGTCCCAAGCCGACTCTGTCTTCAGCCCTGCACACACTCCAAGGTCTGCGGCACCCACGTACTCTGTCTCCCCAGACGATTCCGCCTGGTCTTTTCCGAGCACCGTGCAACTGTCCCAAGCCGACTCTGTCTTCAGCCCTGCACACACTCCAAGGTCTGCGGCACCCACGTACTCTGTCTCCCCAGACGATTCCGCCTGGTCTTTTCCGAGCACCGTGCAACTGTCCCAAGCCGACTCTGTCTTCAGCCCTGCACACACTCCAAGGTCTGCGGCACCCACGTACTCTGTCTCCCCAGACGATTCCGCCTGGTCTTTTCCGAGCACCGTGCAACTGTCCCAAGCCGACTCTGTCTTCAGCCCTGCACGCATTCCAAGGGCCGTGGCACCAACGTACTCTGCCTCCCCACAGGACTCTGTCTGGTCAGTCCCCACAACCGTGCGGCTGTCACAAGCTGACTCTGTCTTCAGCCCGGCACGCATTCCAAGGGCTGTGGCAACAACATACTCTCTCTCCCCGGAGCAGAACGTATTTTCTTTTCCCAGCCCCCAGGACCTGTCACAAGCCGGCTCTGTCTTCGACCCTGCAAGTGCTGGTTTGGGGCAGACATACTCTGCTGGCCCACTAGACTCTTCTGCAAGCTTTCAGGACCCCATGTGTGGCAGCCCCTATGCCCCTTGGAGCCTACCGAGTGGCCCCTTTCCAGAAGGTGCCCCACTCGATTTTTCCATCTACTCATTCCCCAGCAGCCAGCAAATGTCACAACCTCTCTCTATGTTCAGCCATGCAAGTCCAGCGGGTTCTTTTGGGCCTACGTACTCTTACTCCCCACAGAACTTTGCATTCTCTTCCCCGAGCCTTCCTTCTCCCCTGTATGCCTCCAGTCCTTTCCCCTTACCCCCACAGGCTCCCGCAGGCCCCCTAGGGCCGCAGAGCCCTGCCCCTTTTGTCCTGCAGCCCCCTCCCCCAGGCAGGAAGGCCCGGAAACCCTCATCGCCCGGTGCTGCCCCAGCTGCTGCCCTTCGCACCCAGACTCAGGATTCCCAGAGGCCTCCCGACGTGCGGCCGAAGGAACGCAAAGAGACGTCCTCGAAGACGAGCAGCGATGCGAAACCGAAAGGTGAGAGCGCCCCTAAGGGTCCCGAGGTGGGGGTGGTGGAGCAACTTCCCTCTCTGGACCCCCGAAATGAACTCTGAGCAGAAAGTGGCCAGAGAGCACCACGCGGGCTGCCAGCCCCACGTCCAGACCCTCCGGCCTTGCCCTGGGCACAGAGATCCAGCGTGTCAGGAGCAGGGCCCAAGTGAAGGGCCCAGAGAGCCTGTGGCCATGGCCTGGAGAGTCCCTGGAGATCCGGCCTGAGGCTGAGGGGCCACCGTGGGCAAGAGAGGTAGGCCGAGGTCTGTCTCCGGAAGGCAGTCCGGACAGGCTGAAGGCTTGGCAGGGCCCGGGGAGCCAAGGAGCAGAGTAGGCAGCGGAGAGGCGTCTGTGGGAGAACACGTGTGCAAGCGTTCAGCTGCCCAGGAAGTCTGCTCCAGAGGGGGGGGCGTTCTACGGCACCAGACATGGGAGCAGGGATGGCCAGGGCCGCAAGACCTGGGCCCCTACTCCTGTGGCCCAGGAAGGCCTGTGTTTCCCCCGTGACTCAAGGGGCAGGGCTCCCAGCCAGTTCCCAGGCCCAAGGCAGGTAGCGTTGCCTGGTCCAGGTTGGGAATTCCCTGGAGATGGGTTGTTGTTGTTGGTTTTGAGCCCGAAGAGGGTACGGTTTGGGAAGGGAGAGACTTCAACAGGGCACAATGCCAGAGAGCCCACCTCCTAAAGCGGCCCTTTTCTCCAGGGGAACTGATCTCTGTCACCTGGAGATCAGCGGTAATAGCGGGAGATCCCCAGGCACCACCTGGACTGACCGAAAGAGAAGGTTTTGGATGTGTCCGAGTGGCACCCCAGAGGCTGTATTCGTAGAGCCCCCAGAGCCTGGGAGCACTTGCTGCCCGGGTGCTGGTGGGGGAAGCTCTGGGCCAGGAGTGGAGGGGCTCCAGTGTGACGTTCAGCATCCTCGCCTAGTAGGCACCACGCACCGCGCCCCCCCAGAGTTAGACACCAGCCGGGGATGCTGTGAGTCACATCAGGCGCCTCCCGCCTGAACGCAGAGTGCCTGGGCCTCAGCAGAGCCCCCTCCCTCCTCGCTGCGTGCAGGGGGTGGGCAGTCCAGTTAGCCTGAGCAGAAGAGAGTCGGGCTTTTTCTCCTCCGGCTTTCTGTGCGCTGCATCTAGACAACAGAACACAGCACAGCTTAAGGCTAAAACCCTCCCCGTCACTGCCCATTTGAAGGAAGTTGGCGCAGGGAAATCTTCAGGTGTGTGATTAGGCACGTGCAGGCTGAAAGGAGGCACTCACGCAGGGAGGCTCCTGTGTGCTCCCCCACCAGGGTGGGTGCCACTCGGTGCTTGCTCTGTATATATCACGCTCCTTCCTGGCTACCAGTGAAAATTTCCCTCCCCTATTTGGAGTATTATTAAGAAGCACGAAAGCTAGAAATGACTGAGCCAAATAGCACATGATGCATGAGAAGTTGCGACTGGATTTCCCAGCAATCTCTAATACAACACCAACACATGCACACACACACACGGGCTAGTTGCTCCATGACAGCAAAGCACAGAGACGAGCAGCAGCTCCCTCCCAAGGGACATGTGCCCAAACCGAAACCCCCCTCGCCCTCCACTCCCACAAGTGCTTTCTTGCATCTCTCTGAATATTGTCCAGTCTGACCCTCAATGCACCCTGCCCTGTGGCGAGTCAGGCTTCTCCCCTTTCCAGTCCTGTTCCCAGTTGATTCAGGCATGGGAAGGGCCACTTGAACCCTCCCCAGTGAGTTGCTTTGTGCCAAGCCATTGTGTTGCAAGGGGAGGCAGGGAGACATTGGAGCTGAAGGGACCTTGAGGACAGGGAGCTGCCATAAGCCATCCTGGGGGCTGCTCCTGCTCTGAGATCTGCACATGCCTTTTGTCCAAGATTTCCCACCGGTCAGAGCCCCTTACACGAGGGGCGCAGCTCGCAGTGGCGCTCATCATCCGGGGCGATGGTTCCCCAGAGGCGAATTAGCTTCTTTGGCCTCTAGCCATGCTAGAAAGATCCCATCCTCGCCGCCAGTGTTAAATAGTGGGTTTAACACGGCAGATGTGAAGGCAGAGTGATTTCAACAAGCAGCAGTTTATTGCATCTCAACAGGAATGCTTCACATGAGACAACTGCCCTAACTATATACACCTAAGCCACTCCCAGCCCCCATGCGATTGGTGAGTTCAAATGGCCTCCAGGCTCCAAATTGGCTGGCAGTCCTCAGAGGCCAATCCGCAGGCAGGGTCCAGGATCCTGCCTGCCTTTGTTCTGGGGCTTCAAGCTCCAGCTAAGTGACCAGCCCAGACATGCCTCTCCACGATCCCTCTAGGTGGCCTGCCAGATAAGTCCAGGCATGCCTCCAGCAGCAGGAAAGCCGGAGTGGAAGGCTGCTCATGTCCAGACATAACATTGGGAACAAAATATATAATTGCTTTTGCTGACATGGAAAAACCGTCAATCTGACTGTCACACAGCCTCTTACCCCAAATGCAAAACTGGTCAGGAGCCCAGAGACCAGGGTGTGCTGGCCAAATTCTTAGCTCCAGTTGCTAAAGCATGTTGCACAGAGACCCGACCAGGTGGCATGCAAGCCACAATGCTGGGTACCCATGTGGTGCACACCAGGGCTTTGTACATACAGGCAGAAAACTGGTCCACTCCCTCCACATCACCCCTCCCCTAGTACTTTCTGCTGCTCTCCTGGCATGAAGCCACAGCCTCAGTGGGTCCCTTTCCGCCAACACCTGCCTGCCCAGCAGAGGCTGTCTGTCTGGCTGTCTGGAGCTCAGCTCCTGCCTGTCAGTCTGAGAAGGGAGGTGGCTGGAGAGGCAGGAGGAGAGAGGGAAAGGCCCATGGGGAGGGGAGGCTGCTGGCTGGGAATCCTTGTGTGGTCAGCGGAGCCCAGAAGGGGTGGGTGCTGCGGGTGAGCCAGGAGGCTGACAGCTGTGAGGAAGCCCAGTCCAAGCACTGCCGGGGATAAGGCTAACGTTGGGGTGGGCAGGGGAGAGCACCTGGCCTCGCTTGGCTACACTGCTGGAGCACCCCTCGCTGACTGCACGTACCCTTTCAGATGGCAAGCAGGAGAACATGGAGCGCATTGTCGGGGAGATTGCCTTCCAGCTGGACCGCAGGATCCTCTCCGCTATCTTCCCTGACCAAGTCCGTCTCTACGGCTTCACGGTCCGCAACATCCCCAAGAAAGTCATGCAGGTGGGGGGAGTTTATGCTTATTGCCAGGGGTCGTTTCGTAGAAAAAGAGCTAGGGGAACTCATTAGCATAACTCATTAGCATATGCCACACCCCCTGACATCACCAGAAGTGCAAGGCCGGCGGGAGTGCGAGGAAGCCCCACCAAGGCCCTCCCTGGCCCCAGGCAGGCAGGGGTGGGGAGAGGTGGGGAGGAAGCAACTTACCCTCCCTCTTCTCCTGGCTCCTCCTGGCTGAATGAAGGCCAGAAGCGGGGCGGCCGGAAGCAGGGGGCAGGGCTTTGTCATGTGCCCCGCCCCCCTGCACCTCACCCGGGGAACGGCGATCCCCCGCGATTCCCCCAAATCGACTTCTGCTTATTGCCCCCTTCTTGGTCCCGCCGCGCAGTGCGGAGAAGAGGGCCCTTACCCACAGGCGCCAGCAGAGCCGCCGGGCTTCAGTGGGACTTGGCGGCCTGCGGGTGACCTGTGGAGTCCAGCCGCTTGGATACCCGGGCAGTCAAGGCCAGACTGTCTGAGCTCCACAAGGGACTCCGGGGGAACATCACTCTGTCAGGGGTCTTCAGTGCCTCTCGTCCCCTCACCTATTGCCAGGCCCAGGTTAGCCAACCCATCCCCTGGGCTTGTAATAGAGACACGCCTTTACATTCTGTGTTGTACGGAGCAAGGATGGGTGGTGATTTGAAGTTCCAGTTGTCTGTAGCCCAAAATGTGTTTATGGGCTGGCGGGCTGGCGGGCTGGTTAACTCCTGACTGGATAGCCGGTACAAATTGGGACCAGACTCAAAAGGCGAAAAGGGGTGGGGGTGGGGGGTGGGGCGAGACCAAGAAAAGCATAAGGAGGAGGGGTGTGTGTGTGTGTTCGTGGGGGTGTGTGTCACCCACTGCAGTCTCTGGCCCGGGCCAGGCCGCCTTCCAGGCCACCGGGCATTTCTGCTCCTCTGTTGTCTTCTTGTTTGAGTTCTATGGCATTTGTTTAAGATCACATGAGAAGCTCAAATGAGTATTTAAAAGAAGGGTGGAGCTTCTTGGATTAAATCACGCAGGGTTGTTGTCACCTGCTCCAAACTGGGGTGGTTAATGGAGCTCTGGGGACAGTCCCTGCGGAGGAGGCCCAGCAAGGACGTGGTGCCACAGCATAGAAGAAGGAGGAGGAGGAGGAGGAGGAGGGGAGGTTTTCATGCCCCATTCTTCTCTGCCTTAAGGAGTCTCAGAGCGGCTCACAACCTCCTTCCCTTCCCCTCCCCACAACAGCCAACTTGGGAGGTAGGCGGGGCTGAGAGAGTTCAGAGAGAACTGGGATTGGCCCCCAAGGTCACCCACCCAGCAGGCTTCATGTGGAGGAGGAGGAATCAAGCCCCATTCTCCAGATTAGAGTCCGCCGCTCTTCACCATAAGTTGACCACAACTCGATGGCACATCCCACGACTGGGCATATCCTGCAGTTAGCAGTCAGCCGTTTCGTGGCAATACAAGTATACAGATAGGTGTTTTAATGACTCCAGAACCCACAGCAAACAAAGATGCTATGGCTTGAGTTCATGTTTGTGGCTCACGGCACACCTGCCTGCAGCATCCACCCTACCTTTTTTGGTTTTGGTTTTGAACTGGTTGGTGGGCACGCACTCTTCCCCTATCCCAGAGACACGTGTGACTGTGGCCAACTTCTCACCCATGCAGAAGGTTACAGTCACCCCAGTCCCATCCCCAGCACCTCCGGGTAAGCATGGCCCTCAGGAACCAGGTCTGGGGAAAAACCCTCCCCACCCAGGACCCCAGACAAGCTCCACTAGAACAGGTCGTCCTGGCTAGAGAGACCCAGGATCTGACGTTGCGTCAGGCATCTTTGCGCCTTCACATGTTGGGGGGCCGAGATGCCCTTCTGCCCGTCCACCAGGCCCAGACCCCATCGTAATGCTCTTCCTCTCTCCACAGAGTGGAAACGACCCCTACTCCCAACTGAGCGACAAGCAGGCCTCGGCCATCATGGAACGCTACGACACTGTCATGAATCGCCTGAAGCCTTTGGGCTATGACCCCAACGACCATCCCAGGATCACGGAGCACGTGGTGAACACTTTTGGCATCCTCCGGGAGCGGCCAGAGATGTCGGGGGCTGAAGCCGCCTCCTACAATGACATACAGAACCTGCGGAACGTGGTCAAGGAGACCGTCCCCTCGGACATGCACAACGACTGCCTGCTGCTACTCAACTGCCTCCACCAGCTGTCGCAGGACGACGGGAAGCCCTTGTTCATCTGGTAACACCCACCCGCCCCTTCCCTGCTGTGTACCCACTGCAAGCACAATAAACCATCTGAAACTGCCTGGCCAAGGGTGTCTTTGTGCCTCGCAGCCCACAGCCAATTTCTCCTGCCTCCCTGCTGCGCCTCCATTACTGGACAGAGGACCGTCTTCCTCCTGAAGGTGGCTCCCAGGGGGTGGCCTTCAAAATCCCCTGCAAAATGGAGGACACGGTAGTACTCACTGGAGTTGCCAACCTCCAGGGGGTGCCTAGAGCTCTCCAGGCAACAGAGTTCAGTTCCACTGGAGAAAATGGCCGCCCTGGAAGGTGGGCTCTCTGCCGTTATGCACCACTGAAGTCCCTTCCCTCCCCAAGCCTGGCCCTCCTCAGGCTCCGCCCCCAAAGTCTCCAGGTATTTCCCAACCCAGAGCTGGCAACCCTGGTACTCACTGAGAGTGTTGAGACAGTGTGTGTGGCTGCAACAAAGAAGGCCAGCGCTATGCTGGGGATTATTAGGAAGGGAATTGAAAACAGATCAGCCAGTATCACGATGTCCCTGTATAAATCAATGGTGCAACCTCATTTGGAGTACTGTGTGCAGTTCTGGTCACCACACCTCAAAAAGGATATTATAACTTTGGGAAAAGTGCAGAAAAGGGCAACTCGAATGATAAAAGGGTTGGAACACTTTCCCTATGAGGAAAGGTTAAGGCGCTTAGGGCTTTTTAGCTTGGAGAAACGACGACTGAGGGGTGACATGATTGAGGTTTACAAGATGATGCATGGGAAAGAGCAGGTAGAGAAAGAGGTCCTTTTCTCCCTTTCTCACAATACAAGAACTCCTTGTGGGCACTCCATGAAATTGCTGAGCGGTCGGGTTAACAGAACGGATAAAAGGAAGTCCTTCTTCACCCAAAGAGTGATTAACACATGGAATTCACTGCCACAGGAAGTGGCGGCGGCTACAAGCATGGACAGCTTCAAAAGGGAATTAGATAAGCATATGGAGCAGAGGTCCATCAGTGGCTATTAGCCACAAGGTATAGATAGGGGCTCTGGGGCAAGTGATGCCCTGTCTTCTTGGTGCTTGGGGGGAAGAGGTCATTTCGGGGGGATACGGGTGAGGTACGGGGGGCGGGGCACATCTGTCAAGGATGGGCGAGTGGGCGTCAACATGGCAAATGGGGTTCAATGTGGCCAAGTGCAAGGTGATGCACATTGGAGCCAAAAATCCTAAATATAAATACACATTGATGGGGTCTGAACTGGCAGAGACTGATCAAGAGAGAGATCTTGGAGTTGTAGTGGATAACTCACTGAAAATGTCGAGACAGTGTGTGACTGCAATAAAGAAGGCCAATGCTATGCTGGGGATTATTAGGAAGGGTATTGTAAACAGATCAGCCAATATCATAATGCCCCTATATAAATCAATGGTGAGACCTCATTTGGAATACTGTGTGCAGTTCTGGTCACCACACCTTAAAAAGGATATTATAGCTTTGGAAAAAGTGCAGAAAAGGGCAACTCGAATGATCAAAGGGTTGGAACACTTTCCCTATGAGGAAAGGTTAAAGCGCTTAGGGCTCTTTAGCTTGGAGAAACGACGACTGAGGGGTGACATGATCGAGGTTTATAAGATTATGCATGGGATAGAGCAGGTAGAGAAAGAGGCACTTTTCTCCCTTTCCCACAATACAAGAACTCGTGGGCACTCAATGAAATTGCTGAGCGGTCGGGTTAGAATGGATAAAAGGAAGTACTTCCTCACCCAAAGAGTGATTATAACATATGGAATTCACGGCCACAGGAGGTGGTGGTGGCTACAAGCATGGACGGCTTCAAGAGGGAATTAGATAAGCATATGGAGCAGAGGTCCATCAGTGGCTATTAGCCACACGGTATAGATAGGGACTCTGGGGCAACTCCATGAAATTGCTGAGCACTCAATGAAATTGCTGAGTGGTCGGGTTAGAACGGATAAAAGGAAGTACTTCCTCACTCAAAGAGTGATTATAACATATGGAATTCACGGCCACAGGAGGTGGTGGCGGCTACAAGCATGGACAGCTTCAAGAGGGAACTGGATAAGCATATGGAGCAGAGGTCCATCAGTGGCTATTAGCCACAAGGTATAGATAGGGGCTCTGGGGCAAGTGATGCTCTGTGTTCTTGGTGCTTGGGGGGGGGGCAACAGTGGGAGGGCTTCTAGTGCTTGGGGGGGCAATAGTGGGAGGGCTTCTAGTGCCCTGGCCCCACTGGTGGACCTTCTCATGGCACCTGATATTTTTGGCCACTGTATGACGGACAGACTGGATGGGCCATATGCCTGATCCAACATCAGCTTGTCTTATGTTCTCATGTACCCAGCCTGACAGCTGATTCCTAGCAGCAGGGACATTGTGAATACTGGTGGCCTGACCAACAGGGTGGGCAGGAAATTTCCTGTAGCAGAAGAGATTTCCCAAACAGAAAGAGGAGGGATGCGGCTGAGTGCCCCTGAACACTTAGTATGCTCTTTTGCCCAGAATGGAACAACTCCACCCCCACCCCCCAATAGAGCAAAAGTGTTTATCTTGCCTTGCACGTCTAGAAACTGCCAGTCCTTGGTGTGTAATCAGATATCCTGCACCTTAGTACCTTTGGGGAGACCCTGTCTGAGAGGCAAACAGAGGAAATTTACTGCAGGACATAGCCTGTATTCTACCCTCTGCGGACTGGCTGACCATTGTAGCATCACCTGGGGAACCTATATAAACCCAAGCAGTCCCTCTGCATTCACCTTGCATAGTGGAAGATCTCCCAGGGGGCTGGGTCTCGTTCTGGGACAAGAGGTGTGCATGGATGTGCTCTGTGCACTCTTGCCAGCCCCACACTTTGATGTCTCACTGCACCCCCGGGCTTCACAACCACAGGCACAGATGGTTCTCTCGTTGTACCCTTCCGTTCTGGCCACCTACCAAGAATTAAATGTCTCAGTTGAGCCTGCAAGACTCCACCGTTCCCTCAACTCAAAATGGCTGCTGGTCAGCAATGGGCTGGAGGAGCACGTAGGGAACCAGGAGTCTCTTTCTTCTCTCTCATGACAATCCAGTCACAAAGGACCTTTAGGAAGCTGATGAAGGAGGTTCCTACCTGAGAGCTTTGAATGTTATCTGGGTGGCTGATATTATTTCTTGTTTCCATTATGTGTTCAGGTTGCATTTTTATTGGTATGATGCTTTGTAAACCCCTTCAGGTTTGATGGGGAAAGTAATGAGAGAACAAAAGTTCTCTTGGCTTGATCTCAGAGTCCATAACGCAGGGGAATCAACAGTGGCCAACTATACCAGGCTGATCTGCAGACTGACATGCTAAGTTGGTACCCTGCTTGAATTCTTCTGTTTGGCTTCATTGTAGCAGCAGACAACTTCTGCTGGTGTTTTTAGGCTGTTATTGGCAGGGGTCATTTTGTAGAAAAAGAGGTGCAGGAGCTCATTAGCATAACTCAGAGGTCATTTTTGGGGGGATCGCGGGGGATCGCAGTTTCCCCAGGTGAGGTATGGGGGGCGGGGCACATGACGAAGCTCCGCCCCCTGCTTCCGGCCGCCCCGCTTCCGGTCCTCATTCAGCCAGGAGGAGGCAGGAGAAGAGGGAGGGTAAGTTGCTTCCTCCCTGCCTCTCCCCACCCATGCCTGCCTGGGGCCAGGGAGGGCCTTCACGGGGCTTCCTTGCACTACCGCCGGCCTTGCAGGTCCACTGCCGGGCCCCTCATGGGGCTCGGCAGTGGAGCTGCAAGACCGGCGGCAGCGGCCGGGACCGTTGGGGGCGGGGTATGTGGCCTTATGACACACTTCCGGTGATGTCAGGGGGTGTGACATATGCTAATGAGTTATGCTAATGAGTTCCCCTAGCTCTTTTTCTACGAAATGACCCCTGGCATAACTCATTTGCATATGCCACACCCCCTGACATCACCAGAAGTGTGTCAGAAGGCAACACCCACA